AAATAAGAATTTTTTCATTGCCATTTTAAGAAATAAAGGCACTTATTCAGCACAAAATGTTAGCATAAAAGTCTCTTTAAGTGCATGCTTAAGTCCCTCCTGAGTCAGGAAAGAGGTTAAGCAGATGCATATCCTCAAGTTCTAATGACTTCAGTGGGACTTTCTCTTGTCTTAAATTTTGAATGTACTTGAAGCATACTAATGGCTAAGCACAGACTATGAATACAGGTGGCTCAGTTTGGCCCTCAGCTGGCACAAAAACAAAATTTAACATTACTTTTAAAGTGTTTTGACTAAAATCCAACAAAGTACTTAAGCCTACACACAGTGCTGATTTAACTGTCTCAGTTTATAGTTACACTGGTGCAATTTCCTAGTGTGGATACAGTTCTGCTAGTATTTGTCTTGGCATAACTTAGCAAGACACTTTTACAGAACTGAATGCCACTGAAAGTCAAGAAGGCTGGGACAAACCTACAAGAGGGAAAGCCAAACCCGAGTAAACTGAAAATGCAAAACTGAAGGGGCATAAGAAGGGAAAAATTTGACTATTGAAACGCTCATCTTCAAAACCTTCAAGAGATCACTGGTGGCAGTTCTCAGAACACTTTCGCCAATGTATCTATTCGTATATGAATTCATTTCACAAATAGTAGCTCCTTCCAGAAGGTGTGGATGGAATGCCTAGATTATACCTCATATAATGTAGGACCCATTGAGCTGGATATGGTCTAATTGTTGGGCTGAAGTATGGAAACCTGTTTTAGGTTCTGTATGGCATGCACTGAAATCCCTATTACAGTCTTCTGATTCTGCAGGGAACACATTATTTTTTTTATTGTTATTTTCCTTTTTATTAAAATTCAATGCAGTCAAATGACCCAAGATAGAAGAAAGCACTTTTTCCCTTTCCAAAGGATCTTCAAGGAAGAGTTTGACCACAAGAAAGAGTGATAAAAATGAAGGAAGAATAATGACCTTTTTATGTATTATTTACAATGCACAGTAGTGGTCAAAAGTGTCACCATTATTCAGCTTTCCAATACTTGTGAATCAGTTATGGATATCACATACCAATGGGAAATATACCTAATAACCTAGTCCTACTTTGGGAAAGGACTGTTTCTAAGACCCTCCTGTAAAACTAATAAGTTTTTTATTTATGTCCCACTTGGTGCTTCAGATGGTCCATTTCTCTAGGTCCATTCATTTTCTTTTTTGGCTGTTTCTGTTGTGGGCTGATTTGCTTTGGCTTTGCACTAAATAGGATGTAAAACTAAGTGCTCCTGAGACAATTTCTCTGGGTTTATTTGTCGCTTTTTGTCCACCTTGCTTTGTATAGACAGCAGATGTATTAAGCGAAGATGCACAGCATACTAAATTCTTATCTCATTCCAAGAACATAGTGCTTCCAAATTAAATTGTTCAAGATGCAAGAAATGGCAGTATTAAAGTCACCAGTACAAACCCTAACCTGTCCCCTTCCTTGCAAACATTCCAACTGTTGCCATTTTTCATTGAATACATCACTATCTATCAGTGTAAGGACACACTAAATAACCAAACTTTAACCCGAAATACTTGTTCTCTAACTCTATTTGAATCTATTTAGTATTTTCAGTGATTTCTACTACACTCCAAGTAATTGTCATAATTTTATATACAATATAATACTGCCAAAATTAAGAATAGAAGTTTAGCCTTTAGCAATCCACTATCAGTTTTCATGGATACCATAAAGAATTTAAGAGCTTCTCTTTTTGTCACACAAACCATACAGGCAGTGACTCTAAGATTAAGGGGATTTATCCACTGCCAAGAAATTAAGCCCCATGTTGAACTATTCCTGTTTCTTTTCAGTTGCATTGGGATGTTGCTAACTAAACAGTAACATCACAGCAAAACCTTACTCGGGCTCAGGCTCAGAAACTTTGCAGCCTGAACATCAAAACTAAAATAATTACTCTTCAAATAAGAAGGGAAAATACAGTATGATATACCCCCGTGCCCCACAAAACCTCTACACACAGCACTGTTTCACTTTGTATGCACGAACAGTTGATGCACTGTACAAAGGCAAACATGGCTTGCCTTCCAAACTGGCCTTCAAACCTCATTACATTTAATAGTTCCGTACCAAATTGCCAAGTACTTCAACAAATATTCTGGCCAGATTTACATACTTTAAAAAAAAAAAAAAATACTGAAACAGAAAAACACAGAAAAGCGTAATATTAGAAAGTTCTAAATTCAAACTACACTTCAGCAGCATAAAGGGGGATTAATCAAGAACTATGTTGGTGAACTTCTAGAAGAAAGGAACTCATTCCAACAGTACCTGTCATGCTGCAAGGCATAGTTGTAGTGCCTTGTCTTCATCAACTGGAAAATAATTTGCTGTGCTGTTTGCAGATAGTGCTGGCAACCATTCTTCTGCATATCCTGCATTCCCACTCTGTGGTGAGTTATGTATAGCAAAGATTACATGTGATCCCCCTGGCAGTCCAGATATACTTGTGGACAGCTAATTCTATTCTGTTTAAACACAATATATAGAGGTAGTGACCATGCTGATCTTCAGACAGATGTATAGAGGTTACATCAGTCCTAAATATCTTTTTTTTTTTTTTTTTTTTACCAGAGTAGGTGGTTACAAGAAAGAAAGAAATAAAGAGAGAAAAAGGGATACTTCTGAAATACTTAGTGAAGCTTACCTTGATGCACACTAAGGAGAAATCCAGGGATTTTGTCTGCACAGAGAAAATTGTCTAAATTGGCTGGAAAAACTCATTGACCCAGTCAGACTGTGTGAAGCTTGTGATCAAATACAGCCCCAGGCTCTCCTGCCTTATGCACTTGTGCATCTTGCTCAGAACACAAAGCCCAATGAAAAAACCCACTATTTTACTGTGATAAACACTACAATAGAATGGTGTTTGCACAGGCAGGTGTGAGTTGCCCTTCTTTATGTGGCTTGGAAACATTACGTTCAAGGGTTTTTCAGTGTAAATTTACAGACACCACAAGCAAAGAATTTTAAGGTTTTGTCGTTCAATTATTTTAAGTAGAACAATGAGAACATCAATGTGACAACAATACAAATTAATCAAACAACAAAAAGTAAAGCAATTAAAGCTGAGCAGTGAGACTGATAAATTCACAGGCCCTTCTGCAATGCATATTCAAGAGCCTGAGTAACTAAGTGCAACTGAAGAAAGATTGTTAAATGTCCTTTATTGCATATCTATGACATCTACTTCACAGAGAAAACAAGTACATTGTTTCTGTAGCTCACTTTGGATAGCTACAAAAAATAAGGAAAGATGGTTCTGTAATTTAGAACATGGAATGTGAGATGGAAGTCTCTTGAACCTTTGACTTCCTATGTGGCTTCAGGCAATGACCTAATTTCCCATCTGTAAAAAAGTTTGACAATCCTTCTGTGTGCTTATCTTGACTAGGAGGACATGTATATTAAGAATGACCAAATCGAGCAGAGAAATGAATAATAGTATCATTCCAAGTGTACAACTCACTGTACCACCAGTGTTCCATATAATCAAAGCTAGCACACACCTCAACCTCTGTATCTACTATTGCAAATACATGTGTTTGTAATCCTGCATATACTTCCTTGCCATTATTAGGCAGAATCTTGTATTTCTAGTCACTAGAAATTCTCAGATGGTCTCATCTGTGGAAGCCCAACTAAAGCTGCACTCAGTTCTGCAAAGTGCTGAGTATTGTCAGTGAGAGGCTCAGAATTTTTGCAAAACCCCAAATATGAAGTTAAATTTCACCTTGCGAAGTTAGTCCTCCTCCAAACAGTGTTTCAGGTCTTCTAATCCAGGCCTCCATTCTGAACTGCTACCACAACCCTCTTCTTTCCTCCTTCTCTGTGTTGACTATAGCAAAGACAGTATCACTGAGCATAAATTACTCCTGAATACTGCAAAGTCAATTCCAAAAGTTGATATCAAAATTCATCCTAGCACAACTTCCAAGATGGGGAGGAAACTAACAAAATTGATCTAATGAAATTGTATTCCTAAAGTTATGATAGCTTGCTTTCTTTCAAATCCAGATTCTGGTTAAGGTTTGGCAGCATATAAATTCTGAATCAGCCAAAATAATTGCAAATAAATAATTTATTAATCAGAGCATTACTCCCGTGACTTAATGAGCCCATAGCAATTCTTAGATCAGTAGACTATAACTACAGCATGTATTTGCAACTCTCTGGCAAGATCTGGGTAAAGTACCACATAAGGAAGTATCTTAAATAAGTCAGGTTCAACTGTTCACCCTAAGGTAGCACTGCAGTCAGAAATGATCTTCACTGTAAGCTGAAGTCAATCCTCCTTTGGAGTGAACATGCCAAGTGATACAGAGCAGATGCATAGCAGTGGAACATTGTGGTAACATAAAAGTGAGACAATATGGTGAAGATTTTATATAGCTTCGTTTTGCAAATCCTTTCAGAGTTTTATGTTTTCTTATCTTAAGGTGACAAAGACAAATTTATAGAGACTGATATATATATAGTAGTTGAACCCTATTGAGCAATTTTTGATGGAATTCTTTGTAATAGACCTAGACAATGACAACAGTGACATGAGATTAGCTCTAACACTGAGCATATAAGGAAAACTATGTAATAATCTTATCCTGTGAATCCAAATAACGTTAAAAAATGAGAAAAAGCCACCTTATCTGCCTTGACAATAGTGTAATAAATTATTCATCTGGCATAGCAACAGAATGGAGTAAAAGAGTCCAGAACATCAGTTTGAATCAAAACACTGATGAGGCAACATATTTAAAATAAGCTAATTCTTTATGTCTCTGAAAATATTTAGTGGTCATCTTCCCTCAGGTTTTGTCTCCAGGCAATGACTGCAATTTTTTGCTCAATAAAACACAGTGACCAAAGCTGCTTACTCTATCTAAAGCATTCGCTCTATCAAGGCTTTATAAAGAAAAGTTACATAAATCCTTACCTTAATGCATGTGGATTTGACTGAAACTTTCTCTCAGACCCTCAAAGGTGTCATTGTGTGGATAGAAGATCAGTATTAAATTTATCCTCTTGTTACTCTGAAGCAGCCAGTGAGCCTGTGAAATGGGGAGCATGCCACATCATTAGAAAATTATCCACTGCCAACTTGCTATTATCCCATGCCTTTCCTAAGAGGAACAAAAGGTGTGCCATAATGACAGCACTTCACACAGGTAATAGAACAGGCTCTCAAGAGTTTTCAGCAGTCTTCAACTTAAATAAAAAACACTAGATAGTTTATAATATAGTAGCTAAAGCTAAGGCCTTTAAGGAGCATGTAACCTATGTACTTAGTATACAGCACTAAAAGTGAAAATCATAGTAGAACAGTTGTTTCTTAGGCTGAAGATTTTTCTCTTTAGGCTGAAGCCCAGCTAGATTCCAATCCTGTAAACTAGGGCTTCAATCTTCATAGAAAGTTATATTTCTGTAACAAGCATATTAATACAAGGAGACTTGTATTAATCCAGGTTCTCATTGTCAGATTATGCTTTATATTAGATTGCCACAGAGAAGACTTGTTTTACAAAGTCAGAGATCTGAAAGATATTATCAGCAGAAATAATAGTGACTGATAGGAATCCAGAAAAAAGTCCATAGGATATCACTTAGTAAAAAAAGGCAGCAATATTTTGTAAAAAAATCTTTAATGTAAAAAGAGGGAAAAAAGGATTCTCCATATGAAAACTTAACAGTTCAAAGGATCTTCTTCTGCTTCAAATACTCAAGTCACTAATATTAAGTATGGTTTCTGTGCCTTTTAGAGGAATTTCAGTCTTACACAGGTGCCAGTTCACCACAATGAGAAAGTTAACTCTGATGAGTTTGTCTTTCAGACAGTCAACTCACCAAGGCTCAAACACTCCTGAGTGCTGCTCCTGAGGGTGAAGTGCAGCACCCAAACCCCTGGAGATAGGACTGAAAGGTGAATCCCCTTCCAGCCCTGGCCATAGCCCTGTCATAGCTCGTGAGGTAGTGCTGGGACTGGTACCAGATTTTCTGAAAATGGTACCAGAAAATGAAGGTATTGTTTCCATCTCAAACACGATTCAAGAATTAGACAATGAAACTCACATTCCCGTCAATAAAATTTTGGCTAAAGGTCAGGAATATGTCTGCTGAATATATTGTAAAAGGAATTGAAAATATATGTCTCCAGGTGAGAAGGAAAATTCCTATTCTTAGTCAAGGACTATGCGTAGAAAACACATCACTGAGTTGTGCCTCAGCTAATGCTCTATGAACTGTGACAATCTTGTAGTAGATTCACCCACCTATTCTCTAGTTGCATCACTAAGGAGGTATCTACAGATGATTGCATACATCATATCAGAGACTCCTAGCAAATTATTCAGTACACTTCTAACAGGCCTGTAATAACACAGAATAAAAATCTGAATGATTCAATAATAATTATTTGCTCTTAGATTCACCTTACCATCCTCTCTATATTTACAGTTTCATAAGTTTTACCTCAATCAAGTACATTAAAAACAGTTACCTGCTTTCTACTAGCAGTGTTAAGACATTTCAGAAGGTACCCAAATCACATAGATTTTCTAATGTCATGGGAATTAATGCAGTCTGTAATACATCGCTTCCTTTACACTCCAGGCTATAATGGCTCAGCTGTGGAGCTTGAATTTGGAGCGAGGAATTTTGCTTTCCAACCCTTTTTACCATCACTGTCAATGCCAAGCTGCTCAGCTTGGCAGGGCATTCCAGTGGGAACTGCATGTGATGTTCATATTCTGTGCTTCCAGTCTGGAAGCCACCAGGTTACACAGCTTGGGTTCTGATAATAAAGTTCTGTTCTTGCATTTCTCTCCTGAGCTGTTGGTTGATGTATCTATTTACAAAGTGCCTGTGGCCCTGACAAGCTTTTTATTGGAAGTCAAATTTTGCAAACCCAAAATTTTCTGAACCTTTACCTTTTTTCAGGTTTGCTCCAAATAAGGAGGACTATCATGGAGTACATGTCCCATCTCACAATGAGAAAATTAATTTCACTCTGGTCTTAGAAATGCATAACTACTACAGGGGAGAATAACATCAAAAGTCACTGCAAACTGTATGATCTTAGAAGAGAGATTAGGGGAAAAAAAATCAAAGTAGAAAAATAGAAAGAAAAAAATCCATCCATCATGAACACATTCAAGGGGAACAAAAATGCACATTCTTAACCAAACTTCAATGCAGATTTACTTTGCCGTATATTCCATACACTCATTCACACCGTGCTTCTTAAAAATAAACAAGTGAAAAGTAAAAAATGCAACTGCCAAAGGAAGTTTATTTATGTTCAAACTGTACTGGAGAAATTAGTCAAGGGCAATTCATGGATGTGAAAATATGATTTCTAACACTGCCAAGGTCGATAAGACCTTTGGGAGTAAATGCAAACCACATAAATCAAAGATGCCTAGAGGCAGTTTTGAAGATGAGGGGCAAGGCTTTAATAGTTTTAAAAAGCCTGTTAATAATCCAAATGAATAAGCAATGATACAAGAAGAGCAAATATCTTGTTTATGAAAGGAACAAACCACTGCTCGTGGTATTTGTGTGGATTGGGTTGCCCACACTCAGAATCGTATGACTCTTTGCTACATTTCCAAAGTAAGTATCTGATTATTTCTCAGGCCTGAAAAATGAATAAAGGTGCACTAAGCTAAATGAATCTGAGCTGCCAAGTTAGTTTGCTTGCAAAAATATTTTAAGGAAAGACAACTTCAGTGACCAAAGTACTGTTAAAAGAATAGTTCCTCTTTTGCCAAGCTGTCTAAACAGAAATGCATTTTATCTGAAAATGCATGTTTGCTGGTGTGTTAGTTGTTTGGGTTTTTTTTAAACCATTTTCCCCTGGCAGATGAACAGAAATCAAACAACTTTCTTTCCCTATACAATTGAAAACTGACAATTTTTCATTTTTAGCCCAGAGACTGGGCTTAAGTACTTCTGACTAGCTGGGTTTAGACACTCCAATGGTTGCCACTGTAATATCTAAAGTTAGTCTCTTAAGTTTCAGGTTGCCTTTCCAAAACTTTGGGTAAGTTAGAGCATACTCATTTCCCACACAGCTCAGATATCTGGGACACACATCTAGTGTGATATCTGAAGATATCTGAAGATCTCTGAAATCTAAGTGATTTTTAAAACAATCTCTTAAAGGAACTTAGTTTTAGCTGTTAAAAATAGCTTGAATTACGAACAGGATGAGTTTGTTTTCTGAGTCAGACCCTTCAAAACCTTAAACAAAGATGAATTAACAATAGAGCTGGCAATTAGAACTCACAGTGTATTTATTAATTTCTATTAATAAATGATAATAGGTTTTTGAATGTTCCTGTATTGTGCCATTATCTCACATTTTAGAAAATACCATCTATGATAGCATCCTTATTTTACTGCTAAAGATATTTAAACCAATTTTTTATGTTGCTTCTGTGTAGGTAAACTGTTAAGCTGCCACAATCCCTTTCAGGACAAACTCTTCACTGTGTAAAGTTCCTGTTAACAAATCCATAACTATTGCAATCTATTTCTTTTCTTTGACATTGCTTTTCAATAGCTCTGCCATCTTGATCTCAGGAAAAAAAAAAAAAAGGTTGACTAGCTTTGCAGATTCCTCTGATTAAGGGATAGGGCATATGTAAAATTTAAGCATGAGCAGGCGGTGAAGTCAGAATAGTGAGAAAATGAGAATACTGTGGAAAGCAAATGAAAATAGATACTTGTGGACCAGTTGCATACAGAGAGATGTAACCTGAAGTCATGCAGCCAATTAAAATTTGTTGGCAAAGGGTGCAGGAGGAAAAGAAGGAAGACAAAGAGAGGAATCATCAGCCATACATGAAAAACTGCTGCGTTCTACTTCACACAGGCAGAAATTGGTCAGATGGTTGGGGGTGTGCATACCTGAGAAGCAGCAGGACAAATCTCATTGTTAATCTTGGTATCAGAAGCACTTGAGTTTCTGCATGAATTCTTCCTGTCTTTTTGGCCTTTCAATATTTCTGTGTTTTCATTCATTTCCTATATTCCTTGGTCTCAGGGCCATTCTGAAGTATGAATCTGGAGAATTTGATTCCAGTTTCTGGAGGATGAAAGAATATTTGATCTCACATAAGCATAGTTTGATCAGCAAGGGGGATAGTGCTCAAAAGCTAATTGCCATAGCTCCCTACTTTTTTTTTTTCCTATGTAGATGTGCACTGACTCCTCTTCCTATAAGACAATGCATTTGACTTAATAGAGAGGAAGCTTTCACAGTCCTCTTGAGGGTAAGAGTGTTGGTAAACTCCATGGAAAATGTAGGTAGAAAACACAAGAAGTCATTACACTTACTACAGTCACTGATTATCCTGGCAAACACCTCGCTGAAGAACATATGGAAAACACAAGGTCACAGCTATCCAAGAAATCCTGGGGGTCTTGAGACCACACCTGTACAGAGTTGTTTCTACACATAAAATTCTACCTTCCTCCTTTCCTCACTGCAGAGAAGAAAAAGAAACTAAAACCTGGGTCCTCCTGCTTGAGATGAGTTGGTAAAGATCAAACATTATTTGCATGAGATTTCAGTGAAATTTTGCCAGAGGACAAAGGGCTGTATGGGCCAAGAAAAACCAGAAGCTCTACAAGTGTAGGAGGATTGTGTTTGTTGGCTGAGTTTGGGAATAAGTTGAAGTCAGACTAAAGAGCCAACAGCAGCTGTTCCTCAATTTTTTTTTTTTTATTTTTTTTTTAACCCCTGCACAGCATGCAAATAATTTGCTATGGACTTGAACTGGAGAAGCCAAGTATATAGTACTGTGGAACTGAAATCCAAAAAATATAATATTTCAGGTTAGGAGACCTGTAGCTGGTAAGCCAAAACCACAGTTTGCATTCAATTTTCTAGCTTGATCACAAGCACTTTTTCTTCCTGATACATTTAACTAAAATATGCAGGTATTGCTTCACATGCACTTCCTTGGCTTTCTTCAGTGCATACAAATATCTGCACAATGTTTTAGAACTATCACCAGACTTTACCACCAGCCAAATCTTTGTTTGTTTGTTAGAGTGCAATGGCGATTTCTGCCTGTGGATGTATCTGGAGTTTGCTGAAACATTTGGACTAGTATGCCCAACATATTCTCACAAAACTGATCAGCTGCTCTGAGACAAAAATGCCACTGCTCCCTGCCTGCACACACCATTTTGAGAGGTAGAAAGAGTGAAGTTGTACAGACTACAGATGATGTAAAAATAATCTATAAAATATAACCTATGAAGAGGAACAGTGCCATACACTTGAGCAGCTCTGTAGCTGTCAGAGTTGACCATTGTGCTTTCCCTCAAAACCTTTCCTCAATCTCTCACATCTACAGTTTTGATAGGCTTTTCCACAGAGCATGCAAGGAACACATTGCTCTCCACATATCTGTTAGAAGTTCATATGGGGCATCTTCTTTGGAGACATTTATAATCCAGCATGAATTCCTTAGCATGATCACACTACAACACCTTCCAAATGGCTGGGAAAATCCACATTATCTTGGATGATTGTTAAATGAAGTGGTTCTAAACGCAGATCTGATTTTCCAAAGAGGCAGGCAGGAAAACAGGTATTTTCAAAGAATATTTATTGCTATGGTAGCTAAGGTGAAGAGTTTCAGAGTTACTTTATGCCAAATTCAGGACTAACACAAGAAGAAAGAACCAGAAAAAGTGCAAAAGCCTGTACCTTGTTTTTTTATTTTTTTAAAGACCAAAGTATCATAAAATATTTTACATGAATAGGAAAGAGCAGTGAAACCAAAGAGGCATGACCAATTAAAATGCACATAATTTTAAGAGATAAAATGCAGATTAATTATGATGTTTCAAGCTACCTATGGTAATTTCTATTAGCTGAGGATCTGTCCCTAAATATTAAAAGAGCAGTCTTGATACTTCCTTTCCCCCCCCCAACTTAAGATTTTAAAGACACTTTGCAGTTCAACAGTACAGAGTAAGAGAAGCTCTACTGCATGCTGCTTCTGGGTGATACCACAGCCATCATCTGCACCAAGAATAACAACGAAGTAGTGTGGGCCTTCTAAAAGACAGAGTGAAGAATAACTACCTAACTATTATCACAAAGGCAATTTTAGCTAAGTAAAACACAATTACACTAGCCAGAATTTCTTTTGGACATGATTAGTAACAAACGTTCCTTGTCCTATGAAAATGTGCCAGGAAATTTTAATTGACTGCAAGCATCCAAGGCTGCCATTAAACACATCATCTGAAAGATGAATTTATTTGGCCCACACTTAACTACCATGTAACCTGCTTTACGGTTTACAAGATGGAATGATTTTGCTTTACATGACAGTTATTGGGCCTAATTCTACTCACAGTTATTCCAGTGAAAAATTTGGAACAAGTCCATTGAAGGCAATAGCTCTGTAAAATCAGAGTAAAATTAGACTCAGGCCCACCATGCAATGTAATAACAACTGGTATTACAAACTAGGCCAGTTTCTGCTTTTCCAATTGGTAGCAAGTGTGACCAAGCATTAGATATCACATTATTCTAAGATAAAAGATACCTTGGACTTGGCCCCTCCCCAGAGAGCCAGGCTCACACACCTCGTCCAACATGACACACCATGTGATAAGACCAACGCAGAGATCTTTATTCCCTGCCGCTTTGGGAGGACCAAATCATGAAAATGGAGAAGAAAAGTGAGGAATTCAGAAAGGGATTTTTGATTATAATAACATTTACTTGCAAATCACTTCAGAATTACAGATCCTCTTTTTTAACATCAAAAGTTTGAGCCACTTTCTCTTATATGGTTTGAGCTTATTGTTTCTTGTGAGTCCAAGGTTTTACACCACTTTAGGTAAGGTGGGACTTTGTTTTCTGTCTCCTGACAGGGTTATTATGCTATACAAAATAGTTTTTCTCTCAGTGTGGACTTCTCCATTTTCACTGTTTCTTCACCTTCCTGGGACAGTAGTACAGAAATAAGCTTAATAAATGTGTCTGCTTCTGGGAAGCTTTCAAAAGAAATGTCCTAACTGTCAGTATTTACTTCTGTGCAAATGAACATCCTTTTAGGTTTTCCTGGAATGGAGAATCACATCTCACACCTAAAAATAAAAAATTAGGGTAATTAATGTGACATAGTATAAAATGACAAGCATTTTCCACTGCCTACAACCAGTTCCCATGATCTCCAAATACCAAATAGTTAACATACAATAACTCATACTCTGGTATTCTACCGGATAGAAGCTTTCTTTTTATATCAGTCATTAATATTAACATTATGTAATTTATTTATTGAAATATTCAAATCAGAAGCCCAAATACATAACAGCACTATAAAAGTACTAGTATGTGAAGTTTACATTCAGCATCTGCTGCAGATATGCTCTAACAGTATAAGTTAACAGGTGGGGGATTTTTGCTGTTGTTTTCTTTTACACTATTGTTCTAAAAATAGTAATTTTAATATATACTCAATTTGGAAGCATTTGAACAAAATTAGACATACAGTTTATTCACAAACTGTATTCTACAAGTTGAGCCCAGCATTAGGTCACTGCACAAGCCACTGTACTTAGCACAGCTCTGGACCAGAGACAGTGGGAGAAGAAAGGAATTAGAAAGGAAATAAGATGCTGTATCATGATAGACACATAGGGATTTGTTCCCCTGCTTAAGAAATTAACTAGATTATTATTACTTTATTGGGAAAGTCACTCTCTGAACAAACACAAGCCAGTGTTTCTTGTCCTTTCTCTTCTGTTGTTGGTGTTGCTCGTTGCTTGAGTTTTCGGATTGCAAACTGTTGGTAACCAACAGCTTTACAAGGACCACATGTATATGAATAAGTGTTCCCTTCCCAAGTCTACTGACAACCAGCTGATTTGAAAAAGTGTGTTTCTATCTATTACAGCACATGTACAGGTTGATAGCTTTCAAATGATTCCATTTATGTTAGGACTGGTAAAGTGATATTCTATTATTTCATTGAAAATAAAATGTATTGAGACATTTCATGCTGTTTTTCATCTTCCTTCTGTTTCAGTATTACTTTAACTGTGATTTGTGCCATCTAACAACTAAAGGTTATCCAAAATAATTGTTGTACATTACATTCATTGCATTAAAGATGATCTGTGTTTATAAAACAAGATTTTTTTATGAATAAAATACATTGAGAAAATATAACTGCCTCAGCAGCAATTCTGTCAGTTAAAAATACAGTGATATACCTTGAATTTCTACACTTCAGTGCATCTCTAGAGGGAGTGAAATGCTTATTAGATGGTAGCATGTATTATTCTCCAAATCTTCTTTTATATGCCTATTTCAAGTGTTTGATTATTGCCTGGCTAATAATAGGTGCTTCATCAGTCAAAGAACAGAAAGCAAAGACCAGAGAAGATAGTGTAAATTGTAGCATGTAATTGTTCACTGACTGCCACTGAAAAGGTTCAGCTGCTACTGTATGCCAACCTTGCTCTGATGTCTGCAGCCACTGTTTCATGTAACAGCAATTAAAGCTGTGGGAATTGGGAAAAACTCACCCACAGAGACCAATCCTGCCCCATTAATTTTTAAGTGCACAGAATACTGCAGAGGACAGAACAGCCCACCTGGGGCCAGTGAAAACACATCACACCAGTCACTGATGTATTGAGATCAGGGGATGGGTGGTGGAAAGGTTGCGAACTTCCCAGTTCCATAGTCTGACTTGCACAGGTCATTCCCTGGCTTTCCTTCTGCTCCTTTACCTTGGTCACCCCAGTAACCTCATGGAGACATATTCTGGTTGCATTCTACATTGAACCTGCCCAGAACTGCATCTGAACTGAATCTGGATTGAGGCAAAGAGACTGATAGTTAAAACCTCTTTCTGAGGCTCTGCTGTGAAGAAGGATTTTGAGAGTGTGGCAGTTTTGCAAAATAGAGCAATGAAGGCCTTCTGAGCCAACCACAAACAGAGGAGTGTGTTGCAGAAACAAATGGACTGGAAAAAAAACCCCAAAGCTGCCCAGAAAACAACAAGATATGAAAGAACT